CTACCGAGGCGGCGGGAAAATCCCCAAGAGCCGTCAGGAATCCATCCGGATCCATAAGCCTCCTGGGGCGGACCATCTTAATGGGTCCTCCACCTTGCGGAGGTTAGGGGGTGCAGTGAGTCTAAAGCTGACCAGGTGGTGGTCGGTCCATGGCAACGGAGAGATGGATAACTCCTCAACACCGCCACCTTCCTCCCATCCCTGACAGAAAACCAAGTCCAATGTATTTCCAACACTGTGGGTGGGGCCAGATACCTGTTGGGACAGCCCCATGGTTGCCATGGCAGACATGAAGTCCTGAGCCGCTCCTGAAAGGGCCACCTCGGCATGGACATTGAAGTCCCCCAGCACAAGGAGCCGCTGGGATTCCAATGCCAGGCCTGAGACCACCCCCGCTAGCTCAGATAAGGAGACTGTAGTGCAGCGAGGTGGGCGGTACGCTAACAGAATCCCTATTCTGTCCCGGTCACCCAACCTCAAGTGGACACATTCAAAATTTGTTGACTGCGGGATGGGGCCCCTGGTCAGAGGGATGGAATCTCTATAGACAACTGCGACCCCGCCTCCCCGCCCTCCGGATCTCGGCTGGTGCTGCACGGAAAAACCTGGTGGGCAAAGCTGGGTCAAATTCACGCCTCCCGCTTCATCCAACCAGGTCTCCGTGATGTACGCCAGATCTGCCCGCTCATCCAGGATTAAGTCTTGGATGAAAGTTGTTTTTCCATTGACAGATCTGGCGTTCAACAGCACCACCTTCAATCCAGGCTTGTTGAGCTCTGTAACTTCAGGAAGGGCACACGGAAGCAGTGGAGAGGAAAATCCCCTTGTACATTTATTCTTACATTTAGTGGTTTTTTAAAATGCAATTTGATTTATCACCTGCTTACTGTTTTCATGTAAAGTCTTGTCTGTCTTGATACCCTTACATGCATTCCCCTGGAAGTGGCAACAAAAGAAAGAAAAATCTGAAGGTGCAGAGCTACAGCTTAAGTAAAACACAAGGTTTCAAAGTTTAGATTTTAGCATCAAATTTTTGGTTCAGTAAATGTATTGTGTTGCAACTGTCTTATTAACTTGCAGAGTCTGTATACCTTTCTTCTTTGTTCTCATTAAAATATGAGCTGGCATGTGTTAGACTGCATTTGCGTTCACTTCCAGGGACTTCAGTGGGTTCTAAATTTGGCATTGCTAAACTGGTTCCCTGTTTGCATGAATCAATTGGGAATGCTATTTTTAGCGACAAAGGGGGATTGAAAAAGCAATTTTCTTTTAGTGTAACTGATCCCAAGAGGAACACTGATGCAAACTCTCTGTCACTGTATATGATCCCCCTACCGAAAAATGCACAGACAAAAGGCAGCTGTCAACGTCTGCAGCAGTATTAATCTTTAATCAATCAAGTGTTTTCTGCATTCAGCTGTTCGGGTGAAAAACAGGTCGCAAGGAGATTCTGAGTGGAATAACTAAGCATTATGTTTGGTGGGTAGCTGTAGCTAAAAATAGTATTTGCTCCAAATGATTCTCCAGTCTAGTTATGATAAGGTTGATTGGACTATTACTACAAATTCATTTCTAGTAGGTTTAAAATACACAGTGGAGCTTTTTAAACAACACAAGCTAAAATACTTCTCATAGAAGTATTTTCTTCTCAACTTCAATTGGTTAGTGCCAATTAATTAATAATATCAATCTATTAAATGAGATACTTCTTGATGTCAAGCAGGGTCAATCTGTTCTACATTTTGTTCTCTGAAAGGACTAGTATGAATTCTGTTTAGCTTTCATAATGTTTTTGTACTGGAAGTGTCATCACCACCTTCCCACAAAACCTATAGTAATGCCAGTTAGTACCTTATAGTTTTTATTACTACTTTCTGTTACATGCTTTCTATTGAAAGATTTTGCTTCCTCACTCCTGCTAAAAACTTCTTTAAGTGCAAATACCGGCAGTGTAATAGTATGGGATTGTGTTGGCTCCTACTTAAAGAAGATTTCTCCTTTCCTAATTAAGATTTTGGACTTAACTAGCACTATTAATGGTACCATAGTGATAACTATACAGATAGTTTGTCCTTTGTAGTAGAAACTCTTGTCACAATGCAAGCCTTGAATTGATTAGTGTCTAAATACTGAAGTCTTGATCTATCTATATGGATTCAAATACAGATGTGATCCATAATATGTTTTTGCAGTGGTATAAACATGTGTTAGATGAGTACCAGAACAACTTAGTGTCCTTCTTGAGAATCTAAGCAAGGAGGAACATTAATGCATAGTTTTTAATAGAAGGAGCTAGCCTATTTGAGATTATAGATATCTGTGAAGTAATTTATATATAGGCAGATAATCCGTTATAAAGTTGCTGCAATGGAGATATAAGCGATTTTTATGTTGCACATTTTTTTCACAATATGCCCCCCCTTAGCCACTGATTTTATCTCCACAGTTTCATTTATCCACATTCCCCTAAATATCCCTCCCCCTGAAGAGCTTGTGGGCCTCTGTAGGTCCTCCAGTGCGATTCTATTGTAAACTTCTAGCCCAGATATAGCCAAAATACAGGTTTTACTATTATTCATAGAATTATGTTTTAATGTGGTCTTGAAATATCGTCTCTGTAAACATGGGTATCACTATGTTTAATTAAATTCTTATATCCCATCCTATTTTACACAACGATGCCTTTTTATTTAGCATTAATTAATAACCAATACACTAATTTTGGTCTTTATGCATCAGCATAATGTGTGGGTGGGTGTGTGGGGGGAGGGAGGGGGGATAGAGGGAAAGAAGAAAAACTTTTCCTAGTAAGTATCTAGATAAGAGGTTTCCTGACATTTCATGTTTGTGGAACACTTTTTAGGCCTACATCATTTTGTGACACAGTAATTCAATTTTACTAGCAAACCGGAGGTTAAACCAACTCCTTATAAGAGATACGGACACATATTTAAATTGTAATAACAACATTTCTAATCAAAATCCTGCATTTTTTGTATTATTCAAATATATTATTTGTAAGATAACATAAATTTTCAAGATTTTTGTCCTTTCGCTTTATGTTTGTAGCACACCTACAGACTGCAACCGACACACTAATATGTTACAACACACAATTTGGAAATCTGTGATCTAGATGTTTTGGATGCTCTGGTTTTAAGATAAAATAACTTTGTTCGCAGATCCCTCTAAATACATGTTATCAACAGAATAAAATCTGGCAGAACTAACAAATTCCTAAATGAGACTCGGTTAAATTAAAATGGTTATTCGTCTTCTTTTCTCATTGAGAGGCAAACATGGTGCAAGTTCAGACCTTTGTGAGCAACCTTGCTCTCTGTTAGTCAGTTGTCTAAATTCAGTGTGATATAAATAGAACGATACATTGAAATGAAAATGACTTTACTTGTCATACCTAACACAAGTTCTTTTAATTTAAATGGCCTTCCTCTTTGTAGTACTAATGTTAAATTCAACTAGTGCTTTTAGATTACTTCTCCTGTGATACTCAGTGAACTTCATGTTAGAGTAATGACTGGTAACTGTGTAACTCACAACTAAATAAAGTACTGTAATGTGTTATTACATCACAGCAAATTGCACTAGCTTTTTTCCAGTTTTATACAACTAAAACACTATATTTTTCACAGTAATAATTAATCGGGGGAAATGTTACATTTTCATATGAAGGAGTTCTGAGTCAGTGTAATATTTGAAGAGAACCACTGAGGTATAAAGACTCCAGGAGACCAGGGTTTGAATTCCACCCCAAACATGGAAACCCATTGGGTGACATTGTGCAACTCACACTCTCTCAGCTCCAGAGGAAATAAATAACAACCCCCCTATAGAAACAAATACCAAGAAAGCCCCATGATGTGTTTGTCTTAGAATTACCCTAAGCCGTAAATGACTTAAAGACAACAACTTCAACAAATAATACGTGAACTTGGGGAAACTTTTGAACTCTGTTATAAAGGAATTGCTCTCTGGTTTAACTCAAGGGCCATAATGCAGGAACTCCTGCAGTTTTACCGGAGGCGTCCAAATGACGTCTCCGGTAAAACCGAATTCATTTGGGACAATGCAGGAAAACCCTGCTTTGTCCTGAATTAATTTGATACCTAAGATCTGGGCCTTACCAGGTGGGTGCCCAAAATATGGATGGGGCCCAAGGACCATGTTATGCGATTTCAGGGCGCAATTCATACCATCCTCTCAGGTTTTCGGGCTGAATGAGCCTGGAAAACCCAGAGGGCACCAACCCCCTCCCCAAGGCTTTAAAATACTAGAATAACTTTGCCAGCCGCCATTAAGGTCCTGCCGGAGTCCTCCTGGTGCGTAGAAATAACACACCAGGGTGTGTGTGTGTGTGTGTGTGTGTGTGTGTGTGTGTGAGTGAGAGAGAGAGAGAGAGACAGGAGCTATTTTCCTTCTGCTCCCTCCCTCTCCTGGCATGTCATTTCTATACGCCAGGAGAACTCCAGCTTGACCTTAATGGTGGCTGGGTAAGTTATTACACATTTTAAAGCCTCTGGTGGGAGCGGGAGGTTGGGTGTCTCAGTGCCATCCCGGAAGGTACCTGAAGGGCGTCTAGACACCCCCGGGAAAAATGCATGCTTTGGGGTGGGAGGAGTAAAGGCCACCCCAATCCGGGTTTTATAATTCTGTGTTGGCGTGGACTTTCTTGCTCTCTGGAAGCACCCTCAGTTGTTTAAATGTTTACATCTTAAAGTTAGCTATATTTAGTCATTGGAAAAGCTGCAAGATTCATTGTGCATAAAAGTAATATAATGCACCTGTAACCTTCTGTTTATTAGTTGAATTGGCTTAACTAAATCATAATTAACAGAAGAAATGGGGGAGCCATATCCTTTCCCCCCAGAATTCAACTTTTAGAAAGTCAAGTCATTATGTTAAAATGTATAAAAAGTTAATACACAGTATGGAATCTTAATAGAGTGAAACGTGTTTTTTCTTTCCCCCTTCACTTTCTATAGTTGTGACTGGAGCTACTGATGGAATTGGAAAAGCCTATACAGAAGAGGTAAGGTATGATTTCTTTAATTTCTCCTTCTTAGCAGTGAGCATATGTAGCCATTTCACCCTTACAAATAATGATGAACGTCCATTGTTTCATGTGTCGCTTGATTTGAAATGGTAATGTGTATGTGCAATCTACAAATTTGTACTTTTGATTAGCTCTGGAAAATAGAATAGACAAGATGAGTTTCATTGTGCAAAATATGGGCTGTTGTGTTCAAGAAAGCCAATTATTGAAAGTTGCACTAGAGCACCCATTCAAAATTCTGATGAGATGCCACATAACACCAATCTTACTACAGCTGCATTGGTTACCAATTGAGCACCGGATCACTTTCAAAGTGATGGTACTCACCTTTAAGGCCTTGCATGGTCTGGGGCCGATGTACCTGAGGGACCGCCTCACCCCCTACCAACTCCAGAGATCCCTCCGTTCTGAGGACCAAGATCTATTGGAAATTCCCAGTGTCAAGACCTTGCGTCTAACAGCAACCAGACACAGAGCCTTTACAGCAGTGGCAACATCACTCTGGAATACTCTGTCACCTGAAGTCCGTGCCTTGCGGGGACCTATCAGCTTTCCTCAGGGCATGTAAGACATATCTGTTTCGACAGGCCTTTGATCTCTGATATTGTTGTTTTTAAATTGTTTTTAAATTGTGGTAGATTTTAGCCTGTTCTTGTAAGCCGCTCCGATCCCCAGGGGAGTGGCGGCATATAAGTTTGAATTATAAGTAAGTAAATAAATAAATAAAATGGTTGTTTTTATCAGTCTATTTATTGCTCCTGGGAGGGTATGTATGGATTGCATTTCTTTTTTACTGAGATGGTTTTATATCATCACTTTTCCTTATTATGGAGAAACTATCCATTAACTCATCAGGCTTTATGTCATCATCAAATGAAATCAAATTTATTCCTACCAAATTACAGTATACACTAGAGTTTCCTTTTTTAATAAAATCTATCTTGTTTGTTGTTTATGAGTCATCATAATTATAGTGTGTTGCTAGCTTATATATTCTGAAACACATGCTATACACTCACAAGGGAGAGAAAGAGAGTGTCCTGGTCTCTCTGAGAACCTTCTAATACATACCATATTCTGTCCAGTTTTGTGCTATCAAAATGTTTGTGTTCTGTCGCAACGTGGATAGGTATCTGTTCCAAACACCCATACATTCCTCTGTTTCTTATCCTGTACTACTCCCAGCTGTACAGCAAAACAATTTACAGCAATCATGATGCAAAGATATATCATAAATGGGGCTCATAATGAGACTTGACTAATCAAAATAGACACATTTGATTAATAACTTTCTTCTTGTTGCCCTTTTTTGTTTTATGCATTCTTCAGTGTGGTGGAAATTCTGAAATAAATTCTGGTTGTAAGGAACTTCTGTGTACTATATACACAGAGTTCTGCCTTTTACATGTTGTTTTAAGAGAGAATTACCTTGGAGTGATTATTTATTTATTTGCTTTATTTCTATACCGCATTTTTCAGCCTGATAAGGCGACTCAATGCGGTTTTGTTGTTGTTCATTCGTTCAGTCGTCTCCGACTCTTCGTGACCTCATGGACCAGCCCACGCCAGAGCTCCCTGTCGGCCATCACCACCCCCAGCTCCTTCAAGGTGAAGCCAGTCACATCAAAGATACCCTCCATCCATCTTGCCCTTGGTCGGCCCACTCTTCCTTTGCCTTCCACTTTCCCCAGCATAATTGTCTTCTCTAGGCTTTCCTGTCTCCTCATGATGTGGCCAAAGTACTTCAACTTTGTCTCTAGTATCTTTCCCTCCAGTGAGCATTCGGGCTTTATTTCCTGGAGGATGGACTGGTTGGATCTTCTCGCAGTCCAAGGCACTCTCAGCACTTTCCTCCAACACCACAGTTCAAAAGCATCGATCTTCCTTCGCTCAGCCTTCCCTAAGGTCCAGCTCTCACATCCGTAGGTGACTACAGGGAATACCATGGCTTTGACTAGGCGGATCTTTGTTGCCAGTGTGATGTCTCTACTCTTCACTATTTTATCGAGATTGGACATTGCTCTCCTCCCAAGAAGTAAGCGTCTTCTGATTTCCTGGCTACAGTCTGCATCTGCAGTAATCTTTGCACCTAGAAAGACAAAGTCTGTCACGGCCTCCACGGTTTCTCCTTCTATTTTCCAGTTGTCAATCATTCTTGTTGCCATAATCTTGGTTTTTTTGACGTTTAGCTGCAACCCGGCTTTTGCGCTTTCTTCTTTCACCTTGATTAGAAGGCTCCTCAGCTCCTCCTCGCTTTCGGCCATCAGGGTGGTGTCATCTGCATATCTGAGGTTGTTAATGTTTCTTCCAGCAATTTTCACCCCAGCCTTGCATTCATCAAGCCCCGCACATCGCATGATGTGTTCTGCATACAAGTTAAAAAGGTTGGGTGAGAGGATGCAGCCTTGCCGTACGCCTTTCCCAATCTTGAACCAGTCTGTTGTTCCGTGGTCAGTTCTGACTGTTGCTACTTGGTCCTTGTACAGATTCCTCAGGAGAGAGACAAGGTGGCTTGGGATGCCCATCCCACTAAGAACTTGCCACAATTTATTATGATCCACACAGTCAAAGGCTTTAGAATAGTCAATGAAGCAGAAGTAGATGTTTTTCTGAAACTCCCTGCCTTTCTCCATTATCCAGCGGATATTGGCAATCTGGTCTCTCATTCCTCTGCCTTTTCTAAACCCAGCTTGAACATCTGGCAACTCTCGCTCCATGTATTGCTGGAGTCTTCCTTGCAGGATCTTGAGCATTACCTTACTGGCATGAGAAATAAGGGCCACTGTACGGAAGTTTGAGCAGTCTTTCGCATTTCCCTTTTTTGGTATGGGGATATAAGTTGATTTTTTCCAGTCTGATGGCCATTCTTGTGTTTTCCATATTTGCTGGCGAATGGCATGCATCACCTTGACAGCATCATCTTTTAAGATTTTAAACAGTTCAGCTGGGATCCCGTCGTCTCCTGCTGCCTTGTTGTTAGCAATGCTTCTTAAGGCCCATTCAACCTCACTCCTCAGGATGTCTGGTTCTAATTCATTCACCACACCGTCAAAACTATCCTCAATATTATTATCCTTCCTATACAGATCTTCTGTATAGTCTCGCCACCTTCTCTTGATCTCTTCAGCTTCTGTTAGGTCCCTGCCATCTTTGTTTCTTATCATACCAATTTTTGCCTGAAATTTACCTCCAATGTTCCTAATTTTCTGGAAGAGGTCTCGTTGTCCTTCCTATTCTGTTGTCTTCTTCCACTTCCATGCATTGCTTATTTAAAAATAGTTCCTTATCTCTTCTGGCTAACCTCTGGAATTGCGCATTTAACTGGGCATATCTCCCCTTATCCCTGTTTCCTTTTGCTTTCCTCCTTTCTTGGGCTACTTCCAGTGTCTCAGCAGACAACCATTTTGCCTTCTTGTTTTCTTTTTCTTTGGGACGTACTTTTTTGCCGCCTCCTGAACAATGTCGCGGACTTCTGTCCATAGTTCTTCTGGGACTCTATTTACTAAATCTAGTCCTTCAAATCTGTTCTTCACTTCCACTGTATATTCGCTAGGAATGTTAGTGAGATCATATCTAACTGGTCTGTGTATTTTCCCTGATCTCTTTAGTTTTATTCTAAATTTGGCAATAAGAAGTTCGTGATCTGTGCTACAGTCAGCCCCAGGTCTTGTTTTCACCGACTGGATGGATGTCCGCCACCTTTGGCTGCAAAGGATGTAGTCAATCTGATTTCGGTGTTGACCATCTGGTGAGGTCCATGTATAAAGCCGTCTTTTAGGTTGTTGGAAGAGAGTATTTGTTATACACCGAGTTTTCCTGGCAAAATTCTATCAGTCTGCATCCCGCTTCATTTTGTTCTCCCAGACCATGCTTGCCTGTGATCCCAGTTGTCATTTGACTTCCCACCTTGGCATTCCAGTCTCCTGTAATGAAAATAATGTCTCTTTTTGGTGTATTATCCAGTAGGTCCTGCAGATCCTCATAGAACTGATCTACTTCTGCTTCTTCAGCAGCTGTGGTTGGGGCATATATTGGATCACTGTAATGTTGAAAGGCTTTCCTTGCACTCGAATTGAGATCATTCTGTCATTTTTTGGGTTGTATCCAAGCACCGCTTTAGCGAATTTCTTATTAATTATGAAGGCTACTCCATTTCTTCGATGTTCCTCTTGTTCGCAGTAGTAGATCTGGTGGCCATCTGATGTGAAGTGGCCCATTCCAGTTCGCTGACCCCCAGAATGTCTATCTTTAGTCTTGACATCTCACCAATAACAACATCCAATTTGCCCTGGCTCATAGATCTTACATTCCAGGTTCCTATGGTGTGTTGATCTTTAGAGCATCGGATTCGTCGTTCACCTCCAGTACCGTCGGCCGCTAGCCTTCCTTTCGCCTTTTTGAGCTAGCTGCGTCATCACATCTGGGCTAGTTGAACTTATCCTCTGCTCCTCCCCAGTAGCTTTTGGCCATCTTCCGACCTGGGAGTCCCATCTTCCAATGGCATACCGACATATCTCTGGTTGTACTGGTCCATTTAGTTTTCTTGGCAAGGATACTGGAGTGGTTTGCCATTGCCTTCCCCAGGGATCACGCTTGGTCTGACCTCTCTGCCACAACCGTCCCGTCTTGGGTGGTCCTTCACGGTTTCGCTCATGACATCATTGAGGTGCTCAAGCTCCAGCGCCCCGACAAGGCGGTGATCCTTTGCTGGAGCAATGCGGTTTACACAATGAAAATTTTCACAATAACATCAATACTATCACAACAATATCCTAAACAATTAAAACACATCATATACAGCAACAAAATCAAACAATCATTAACAATTCATAACYRCTCAATATGAAATCAGATCCGTTCTCGTAATCCTTGTGCCATTCCTGAGATCAAATTTTACCATCCTCCTATATTCAGTTGCACTGATTAGCCAAACGCTTGTTCATAGAGCCAGCTATGTTGTTTGGTGTTAACAACTCCATTTAAGACAGGGGACAAGTGATTTGGGAGGCACTTTGGGGATTTTCCAAAAAGTGGCTGGAAGTCAACTCATGGTTTTGAATTAATATTGTAATATTGTTTTCTGGCAGTGGTATAGAGTTATTCTTATTGTTTGTTGATTGTTTGATTTGGGGCATGAAAAGTAAATGTTTAAAAAGATTCAATTTTGAAAAGTTGTTAGTATGTGTATGCTAAAGTAAGCCATGCAGAAATTTTAAAAAAGTGGAATTGCTGCTCCTAGAGCATTCTGGAAGAAGCAACCCACTCTTTTTTATAGAAAAAGGGTGATTTAGGGAGTCAGCAACCTTGGAGAGTCACATGCAGCCCAAGGCTTGCTCTTCATTTACACATGATGTGCTTCTGCATTAAAAAAATTGATTCATTGTTTCCAGAAACTACATCCGTAGTACTCAAAACTTCAGTGGTGTATATAGATATCACTGTTTATACCTCCATGTCTGTCACTATCACTGTTTTTCAAGAGGTCTAGAAACAGTTAAATGACCAGCATAATTGTGAATTAAAGATGCTTCCTTGGACATATAATGCCAACATTACCTTATAGTTACTGTAAACAACCCATTTCTTAGTCCTTATATGAAATCCATATTTGTAATTGATTTTTTTCTGTTACATATTCTAATCTGAATCCAATAACTGGTTAATTGGAGTCTCTAGTTTCCTTGTTTTGACAAAGAAATAAAGTAACTTTTCCCAGTTCTCATATATATGATAATGTTAATACATAAAATACTGTTATAGTGTTTATGCGGACTATCTTGAATCTGTCGCCATTTGTTTTTCAGTTAGCAAAGCGTGGCTTGAAGGTGGTTCTTATCAGCAGATCTCAGGAAAAGCTGAATCAGGTTGCCAGTGATATAAGTGAGTAGTTTTCTTCATTAGTATATCCATAAGTAAGAATAAATTGATTTAATATTTTAAACCATGATTAAACTCTTTAAGCTTTTGTGAATGTCAGCTCCCACAAGGTCCAGCCTGTATGGCCAGAGATATAAGACTTGTGGTCTAAAACATCTAGAGGATAGAGATTTTATCATTGTTGCCTTAAATATAAATGGAATTGTTGCACTTTAAATAAAAAGTTACTTGTTCTTTATATTGGTAATCAGCAAGCCATATCCTCAAATTATATTTTCTCAAAAGTTCTTAAAATGCTATCTAGTAGTGAACAATGAATAAGAGCTAGCTTCTTCACGTTTTCTTACCAATGTATAAGAGGTATAGTGTTACAAGTCCAGCTTATGGGCCATTGAATGACATGAATTATGTCCAAGGCAACTAAATGAGTTTCATAGATAAATAAAAATCGGTGTGTTTGATTTCAGTCTTACGGTTTTGAAAATGAGGCAACTTTTGATTATGTAATGAAACGTCTGTCTCTAGTAACTTTGAGGTCCATACAAAAGAACTGAAAATGCAAGATCACATTCAGTCTCCTTCACTAATTACCTTCACTAATGAGAAAAAGTGAACTTCAGACCAAAGAGTCGATCTGGTACACATCTTTGATTGCTTATGCAGTTATGTGAAAGTTATGGGTAGCCAGTAGTGTAGAACTGCTTACAAATATTATTCAGCAAATGCTGCCCTGTCTTATTCATAGGCACTGTACTTCATATTCTGCTTTAAATGCTGTTACTACATCCTGGGGAATCTGCCAGATTGTAGTTTGGTGATAATTTTAAATGCCTCTCCCTAAATTGCAATTTCAGGATTTATAGCATGTTGCCATGGCAGATAAATTGGAATCATAGCACTATAATAGTATAGTGTAAAAGGGCCTTTGGTCTTCTTAGAACTAAACCGATCCATTCTAAGCAGAGGTCTTTCATGCAGAATATTTCTTACTCCATTTTGATAAGCTTAATTATTGTTAGTTAGCAGACATATATTTTGTTTTATACCATCTTCTGAAAATTCATTTAGCTAATAATTAGCATTTTCTGCAAATAATGCAGCATTCAAATCATCTTACTTAACCAGTTTCAAAACATATTGGCAATCCATGCAAAAACCTCTGGGCAGGTATCTGCCTTTCAACAAGGCTAAAAATAGCATTCATTATCATAAACATGAGGAACACGCACAGACATGAGCAGCATCACGACAACCTAGTGGGAGAGCTTTGAAATGAACACAGTATCTTTCTTTCCAATGCTAAATTGTAATGAAATTGATTTTCCTACCAGGCAAATTAAAACAACAATAAGAATTTCCTATGTAGCTGTTTTGCAACAGATTGAAGGAAAGAAGATTCCACTCCTGTGTAGATAAATCCAAAGTGCAGGTGGTTTATCAGCCCTGACAGAATACAGCAAAATTCACATGTAGTACTGTTAACTTTTAAAAGTGCCTTTAGTCTAGGAGTGCGTTCCCTTTGAATAACTGCAAATTACAGAATCTTAAATATCACTTGAATGCAGAGTCACATGACTGATGGAAACTTTACATATCCTCGCGTAGTGGGGAATCTTTGGCCTTGTAGATATCAGAAAACTACTCCTATTGTGCCTCACAATTGATGAGTATAGTTATGGTTGATAATAAACTTTATTTGTACCCCGCCACCATCTCCCCAAAGGGGACTCGGAGCGGCTTGCATGGGGCCAAGCCTGAACAAAAATTACAATATAACAATACAAATTGCAATCAAATAAACAACATAACAGTAAAATATAAAACATCAAAGCATATAAAACAATATACACAAAACATAGGAAATAAGCATAATGGCAGACAAAGGGCGGGCCGCATGTACATAAAATGATTAAAAAACTCCGGGTGAGATCAGGGGGGAGAACTAATTGTAAGGGCGAACTTATATAGAGATAGGAAATGAAACCAACCTTCATGTGTGTGTGGGGGGGGGGGGGTGGACTCCTGGGACAAGAACATTGGAGGAGCACTAGCATAAAATTATGTGGCTACTCTTCGAAAGCGCGACGACAGAGCCAGGTCTTAAGACTCGTTTACAAAGTTTCCAACGTAGGGGCTTTCGTAATCTCTCCAAGCAGTGAATTTCAGAGTGGGGGGGGGGGGCACAGAGGAGAAGGCTCTTTCCCTTTTACCCACAAGGCAAATCTGAGAGAACTTGGGCGAAAGGAATGCCTCGCCCAAAGATCGAAGGGTATGGGCTGGTTCATGGAGAGAGATACGGTCACAGAGGGAGGCGGGTCCCAAACGGTCTAGGGTTTTATAGGTAAGAACCTGGACCTTGTATTGGGACTGGAAGATGAACAGCAGCCAATGGAGCTCCTTAAACAGGGGGGTTGACCTCTCCCTGTAAGTTGCCCCAGTTATTAATCTGGCTGCCGACCGTTGGACAAGTTGTAATTTCTGGGCCTTCTTCAAGGGTAGTCCCACATAGAGAGCATTGCAATAGTCAAGTCTAAAGGTAACTAAGGCATGGGCCACCATGGTCAAGTCAGACTTCACGAGGTATGGTCGCAGTTGGCGCACGAGTTTTAATTGTGCGAAAGTTCTCCCGGCCACCGCCGACACCTGCGCATCAAGCAAGTGGTCTGCAGACACTTAGAAACAAATGCGGTCATCGCTAATAGTCAACACGGATTTATCAAAAACAAGTCATGCCAGACTAATCTGATCTCTTTTTTCGATAGATTTAAAAGCTGGGTAGATGCGGGGAATGCCATGGATGTAGCATACCTGGATTTCAGTAAGGCCTTCGACAAGGTCCCCCATGACCTTCTGGCAAGGAAACTAGTCCAATGTGGGCTAGGCAAAACTACGGTGAGGTGGATCTGTAATTGGTTAAATGGACGAACCCAGAGGGTGCTCACCAATGCTTCCTCTTTATCCTGGAAAGAAGTGACGAGCGGAGTGCCGCAGGGTTCCGTCCTGGGCCTTGGAAAAACGAAATGCAAAGATACAGAATGGGGGATGCCTGGCTCGAGAGCAGTACGTGTGAAAAAGATCTTGGAGTCCTCGTGGACAACAAGTTAAACATGAGCCAACAATGTGATGTGCGGCAAAAAAAGCCAGTGGGATTTTGGCCTGCATCAATAGGAGCATAGTGTCTAGATCCAGGGAAGTAATGCTACCCCTCTATTGCTTTGGTTAGACCACACCTGAATATTGTGTCCAATTCTGGGCACCACAATTCAAGAGAGATATTGACAAGCTGGAATGTGTCCAGAGGAGGGCGACTAAAATGATCAAAGGTCTGGAGAACAAGCCCTATGAGGAGCGGCTTAAGGAGCTGGGCATGTTTAGCCTGAAGAAGAGAAGGCTGAGAGGAGATATGATAGCCATGTATAAATATGTGAGAGGAAGCCACAGGGAGGAGGGAGCAAGCTTGTTTTCTTCTTCCCTGGAGACTAGGACGCAGAACAATGGCTTCAAACTACAAGAGAGGAGATTCCATCTGAACATGAGGAAGAACTTCCTGACTGTGAGAGCCGTTCAGCAGTGGAACTCTCTGCCCCGGAGTGTGGTGGAGGCTCCTTCTTTGGAAGCTTTTAAACAGAGGCTGGATGGCCATCTGTCAGGGGTGATTTGAATGCAATATTCCTGCTTCTTGGCAGGGGGTTGGACTGGATGGCCCATGAGGTCTCTTCCAACTCTTTGATTCTATGATTCTAAGCGACAGCACTGAGTCCAGGAGAACCCCCAAACTGCGGACCTGTGACTTCAGGGGGAGTGCAACCCCGTCCAGCACAGGTTGCCACCCAATACCCCGATCAGACGGGCAACTGACCTGGAGGACCTCAGGATTGATCCTCAGCTTGATGAATATTAGTGATCAACAACATCTGGAAGGCTGTAAGTTCTCTAGTCGTGCTGTAAAATGCTAGAATAATTTGAGTTGCAAGTCTGGGGGGAGAGATTCAGTAGTAACTGCAGATGGGATTTACAAGGTCGCAGTATCCAGTAAGATAAAATTAGACCTTTCATTTTAATATTAGCAAGGGAACTGATGCTTGTTTAGTGGCAAAAACCATGGAATGTGGAATATCATGGGAAATGCACTTTGTTAGATATGTGTTAAACATTTATATAGCCCATTTCCCATTTTAATCTCAAGGGTTACATTGGTGTCAGGTTTGCACAAGAAACAAGCATTAGTGGAGTAAAATGTGAGAAAAAACAGCAGTTGAAAGAAATTCACGTGAAACATGTGCCTGAGAAAGGGACTGAAATCTTCAGGACCAAAAGGCTGTACAGTCAGAACTCTGCTTTCATGGATTTTATTAATATGGTATCTCTAGGAATCTGTCCTGCAGTGCAACTTTGTGGTGAACTTCTATTTCAAATTGATTATAGCGCTGTGCTGGAAAGACCTAGAGATAATATCTCTCTAGGAATTTCCAGGTCCTCCAGCACAATCTGTTGGCAGCTTTTGGCATAAGTTGGTCATAGAGTCTCACTGGACAACTTTGATTCCTAGAGAGATGTTCTCTGAGGTTAAAATGGGGGAATTTTATTTCCCCACTTTTATTGGGGTTTTGCAGTCCCAACACTTGTAAATGTGGGAGGGCTGATGTATATGGTAGAACATAAATTTGAAAAGACACAGGTCTTTGATCTTCCTTTGACACATTCACTCTTATTTTTAGGGCAGGCCTGCACAACCAGTAGCCCTCCAGATATTTGACCTCCAACTTTCAGAAGCCCTAGCCAGCTTGCCGAGTGTCTAGGAGTTCTGGGAGCTGAAGTCCAAAATACTTGGAGGGCTACAAATTTGACACCACTGTTGTAAGGTATAAGGGGTTCTGTTTGTTTGTTTGTTTGTTTTTGTTTTCTGGAAGAGATCATTAACAACATACACCCTAAAATTCAGCTATTTGGTCTTGAGCTTTCTGAGATTTGAGACATCCTTCAGGCCATAGTGAAGAATGCAG